TTTCAGCTGTCCACACCACAGCAGTGGGCAACGAGCTTAAAGCCCCTGATGGCTCTGGGCGCTGACTCTCACCAGTGGCTATGGATGAAGTCACATGCGATTTTCAGCCAGTGCCGGCAAACTGTATTTTGTGGATGACACAACTTTGCTTATAGAAAGTGACTTAAAGCACTTACTGAAGTAGATTTAATATTACAGCCTTCTATGTAGATTGTATCTCAATCTCAAGAAAACAAAAATCCTCATAACAATAGGCAATACCATGACAGACAGAGAAAAGATTGAAATTGTCAACAATTTCATTTTACTTGGATCCACAATCAACATTCATGATAGCAGTTAAAAAAATAAAAGACGTATTGTTGTTGTTGTTGTTATGTGCCGTCGAGTCTCTTGCGACTCATAGCGACCCTTTGTACAACAGCCCTAAACTCTGCTCTGTTCTGTGCCAATCGCACTGTCTCTGACTCTGCCATCCCGATTATCCCAGTCACTGAATCAATTGGGCAAATCCGCTGTCAAGACCACTCCAAAGTTCTAAAGAGCAAAGATATCGGTTTAAACGCTAAGGTACACCTGATCCAAGGCATGGTATTTCAAGTGGCTAAAAATGCATGTGTAAAGTTGGACAAAGGTTAAGGGAGACCGAAGAAAACTTTATTCTTTGAATTGTGCTGTTGGTAAAGAGTACTGGATATACCACCAACTGTCAAAAGAACAAACGTATTTATGGTAGAGAATGTGCAACCAGAGTGCCCTTTAGAGATAAGGATGGTAAAACTTAGTCATACATGCTTCAGACATGCCATCAGGAGGTGCCAGTACTTAAAAAGACATCATACTGGGGAAAGTAGAGGATCAGGGGAAGAGAGAATAACTCTGAATAAAGAGAAAAATCCTCAGTTCATCCAGTGACTACAGTAATAGTTTGAGCACAGCAGAGATCATGAGGATAATAAGGATAGAGCAAGGTTTCCATCTGTTCTTACTAAGGTTGCTGTGACTGGATGAAACCTAACAAAAATCATGCTCTTTCTGAATTCAGACTTCGAGTCTTTCTTAAATTGCGTGAAATGTGCTTGCTAAAGTCCTCTATTTACAATATTTCTATTGTAGCACTAGAAAACTAACACAAATAGAAGGAAATTCCCCAGGAGTCATTTGAATAGAGTGTTACATTGTTTTTAGGTGTCGGGAAGTAGGTTCAAATTTATCTCAACTTTTCATTGCCATTGTAGTTTCTGAGAACCTACTCAGAGTTTATCCTCCAGTGGGTCTCTGAGGCTGTAAATTGCTTGGGAGGAGTTTACTTACCTTTCCCCCCCAGAACTGCTGGTGGATTACAACCAGAGAAGGGAAATGCATTACAGCCAAAGCTCCACCCAATATACAACAGAGTGAAGCACTATGCCATTTCACACTACCGCCAAGATCTCTGTTGTGCTTAAGCCCTTTATTGCAGCTGTTGTGTTAATCCAAATTGTTGAGGAAATTCAAAGGTGATCCTTTTTTTTTTCGACCCTCTACTTTACCAAGTATGATTATGTCCTTTCCCACGGACTATCTCTTTGTGATAAATTGACTTATGTATACCATCTTTGCTTTGAGGGAGTGTTCCAGCTGTATTTCTTCCAAGAAAGATATGTTTCTTCTTTTGAAAGCCCACAGAGAATAGGAAAGTCTTTTAGTAGTCTAAAGTGGAACAGCTGTTGTTAGGTTTTGTCTAATTAATTATGAGTGTGACCCTAAGAACAATAGATAGCAACCTTAGCCCTATCCTGCACCATCTTATTGAGATTTGTCCTCTCTTTCTTTGAACCTCCACCTTTCCCAACACTGTCATCCTTTTCCAAGTTCTGGTCCCTCCTGGCAACCTGCTCAAAGTATGTGAAACAGTTTCTCCATCCTTTCCTCTAAGAAATACCCTGTTCTTCTGGGAGTCCATGGGATATTTGGTACTCTTCTTCAACACTGCAGTTCAAAAGCGTTGATTATTCTGTCATCCTTACTTACTGCCAAATTTTCAGATGCACAGGAAGTAATTTAAAATACCATGGCTTGAGTCTGCTGCACCTTCATTTTGTTTCCTTTTTAAAAAATTTTCTACTAGTTTATTTACAAAATTTGAGTGCATTGTTTTTAAGAACAAATTCTTTCCATTTCCCTCACCCTGTCCCCATCAAATTGTACAAACCCATGATTAATCCCCCCTCCCCCTACATATACACATCCCTTTGCTTCCACCCTCTCCCACCCCTCTTGGATCCTTATACTCATTCTACAATAATGGTTTTATACAATATTTATCAGTGTGGGACTGAGTTCACTCAGCATAATGCTCTCCAAACTCTCCCAAGTTAGGTAATAATTTGCAAAAGCATTGTTCCTGAGTGCCACAGAGTATTCCATTGTGTGAATGTACCATCATTTCTCAATCCATTCATTTGTGGTTGGACATTTTGGCTGTTTCCATCTTCTTGCAATGGTGAATAATACTGCTATGAACATTGGTGTGCAAATCTCAGCTATTCCACTACTTGGAATATACCCTGAGAAAATTAGAACAGATGCACCTTATTCTTTAAACTGACTTCATCACTCTCACCCTCTTTGGAGAGACTCTTGAGAGCAGATTTCCCCACGGCGACACATCTTTTCTTTCTTGACTGCCTATTACCAAAGAAGTGTCCATGTTCCAATCCTACTCAACTAAATGGTATCTAAAACAACAATTACCAAAGAGAAACGAGGAAGTGAGAGCATTCACAGCTAATCTAGGTAAACTTTTGCAAGAATTTTAATGGTAATAGAATTAGCTGTACTTAGTAGGTGTCATAGTGTTTAGGGGGTTTTTAAACGTTTCTGATTCTGCAACATGTCTTTGTTTACAGCTGGCATTTGGGGGCAGGGAGCAGGCTACTGAAGGTTACCCCGCGCAGTTTAAATCCACTAGCTGCTCCACGGGACAAAGATGGGCCATCTTCTCCTCAGCGATTTATTGCCTCTGAAAACCCACTGGAGGGTCAGTTAAAAGTCAGTTCTGACTCCATAGTATTCAACAACAACAACAACAATATTGAAGATTAAGTACAAACTAGGAAAAATGAAAGTCATGTCTTCTCAATGTATGCATCAGAGAGCTGGAAGAAGAATCGATGCCTGTGAGTCATGGTGCTGGAGAAGCGTACTGAATATGGCATGGACCACCAAGAAAACAAGTCTGTCTTGGAGAGGGTGAAACTAAGTTTCTCCTTGGAGGCAAGGATTTTGAAGCTCCAACTCACATACTTTGTGACCGGTCCTTGGAGAAGGACATCATGCTTGGAACCGTAGAGGGACAGCACAGGAGAGGAAGATCCCAAATGAGATGGATTGATAAAATAACTGGGGCAACGAGGGTAGGTGTGTCAGAATCAGTGAGACTGGCTCAGGATGGGGCAGGCTTCAGAGCTCATAGGGTCGCTGTGAGTCGCGGGCGACTCGACAGCACATAACAACAATGTCTTTGAGCTAGCCAGAAGGACTTGACTAAATTTATTCTTTGGTTGTTAAGGGCGAGCCTGGGAGGCTAACACAGAAAGACTCCCAAGGGCTCTCTTAGGAACAGGGTCTCAACGCACTTTGGGAACCACAATTCCCGGCAGCCTTTGCGCCGGGCCACTAGTACGCAGGCGCATGTCACCTCCCTCCTACTCGTCCCTCCTCCGGGCCCGGCCCCAGTTCCTGGCTGGAGCCACCTAGTCGCTGCGGACGGTTTCCTCTTAAAAGAGAAACGTCGTCCGCGCGCGCGAGGTGGGCCCCTCGTTCTCCATCGCTTTCCGGGCCTGTGCGCGAGGCTGGTGGGGGCACAGACGCAGTCCGGGTGAGGGCGGGGTAGGGGCGAGTAGGTAAGGGCGGAGTGGGGTGGCAGCGACAGGGACTCTCGGCAGCCTGGTGCCTGCCTCTAGGGTTTGACCTGACCTTTGGCATTATTAGGAGAGTGAAGTGAAATCGTGTCATAGTTGCCTTCCCTGCTTCCCCTCTGCCCCGCTCGACCCAGCGATGGAGGAGCGCGTGTGCACACCGGGATGAGTCCTCCAAACGCCATACCCAGTAAATGCAGATACCTTCCTCAAGAACTGTGTGCTCATCTGTTAAAATACCTGCTTCTCCCCAGGGAAAGTCTCGACCCTCCCCCCCCTTCCCATAGTTTCAATTCTACTATTCCGTGGTCCCAAGGGCTCAGGCTTTTGGTGTAACTTTGACCTTGACCCTTACCTTCCACCCCAAGACCCCCATCCCGGTTAATACCTGGAGGGATGGTTTGAGCCCCTTTACAGCTAATGTTATGTAAACGGTTTTAGCCTTGCTCCATTTCACTGATGAGGATACCGAGGCCCGGAGGAGCGAGGCCCTGATGGCTTGTCTCCTCCATTTCCAGGTCCTGGAACATGGCTTCTGCCCCAGAGGACACAAGCCGCAGGCGGCGGGAGAAGCGGCGGCAGCTGGATGCCCGCCGCAGCAAGTGTCGCATACGGCTGGGTGGCCACATGGAGCAGTGGTGCCTCCTCAAGGAGCGGCTGGGATTCTCTCTGCACTCGCAGCTCGCCAAGTTCCTGCTGGACCGGTTAGAGGTTGAGGGGGAGGAAGGGGCTCCTGGCGCACAGAGAGCACACAGGCCGCAGTACCAGGCCCCCTGCCCAGGGCCAAGTTACCCACTGCACCCTAGGCCTGAAGATTTCTCATCTCAGCACGAAGGCCTTGCCACGTTCCCTCCTGTGGTCTCCAGCGAATAGGGGCCCAGGGAGCTGACCCCTTACTATTTTGAGCTTCCTTGGTTGGGAGCTCTTGGCAAAGCACGCACCTGACCTGTCACCTTTCCTCCTGACAGGTACATTTCTTCGGGCTGCATACTCTGTGCAGGTAGGTAGAGAACAGCTGGCTAAAGAGGGAAGACAAATCGCTCAAGGTGTGTGTGGAGGGGGGCTGTGCAGAATGATGCTTAGGAGTCAGAGCAGAAGACAAACAACAGGAAGGGATGTGACCAATTTATATAAGATTGAAGGATCAGGGGAAGCTGTGAGTTTGATAAAGTGAGGCGTTTGGGATCCCAGGATAATGTGATGGGCATCCTGTGGGAAAGGGTGTATGTAGAGTCTCAGCACATCTGTAGGACTCTGAAGAAAACTGCAAGGTTGGTGTGGGAGGTTGGGGTTGCTCAGAGGATTGGAGGCCCAGGAGGAGTATCTGTGTATAACGCCTCCTAGCTGGGTCTAACTACTCCCCCCACCTCTCCAGGCCCTGAGCTCTCACCTCCCAAAGGTCTGCAGTACCTTGTGCTCCTAAGTCATGCTCACAGCCGAGAGTGCAGCCTGGTACCTGGGCTTCGAGGACCTGGGGGCCATGAAAAGGGACTTGTGTGGGAGTGCTCGGCAGGACACACCTTCTCCTGGGACCCCTCTTTGGGCTCCACACCTCCAGAGACACCCAGACCAGTCCCCCTTCGACGCTCTGCCCGGAGAAGCTGGTGCTCAGAGACCAAGAGTGGACAGGAATCTGCAGGTAGGCTAGGGGAAAACAGAGTTGTGGAGCAAAGGAAAGAAAAAGACCTCTCATCTCCTGTAGTCTGCAGCCCTGTTCCCTAAAAAATTTAGTTTTTTAAAATGAAAAGAACTATGCTGTTGTGGAAATATATCCCTAAATATATTATTGTTGCTGTTGTTGTGTGCTTTCGAGTCATAACCAACCCATAGCTAACCGTCCAGCGGGTTTTCTTAGGCAGTAAATCACACGAGTGGAGATTCTCCATTTTTCTTCTTCAGAGCACCTGAAGAATTTGAATCATGTAACCTTGGGATTGCAGCACAGTCCTTACTACTAGATTACTAGAGCTTGTGCTCTCTTTTTTTCCCCCTTCCCTTGTTGTGTACCTTCAAATCAGATCTGACTGGCACAGGAGGAGACTGTCCCTCCTTCACCAGCAGAATATCTAGGGGATTCAAACTGAGTTTTCAGTATTGCAGTGCAACTTCTTGCCACTAAACCACCAGAGTCCTCAACCAGAGCACTAGATACTGCTAAAAAAAAATCAGAATAGGTTGTATAGTATGCTACCATTTGTGGCAAATAAAAAGAAGATAAAAGACTATATTGTTTAAAGGGACTTGTGAATGCCTAGCGTAGCTCTTGAAGAAGATGTGAGAAACCAAGTGCCAGGGTGGGGGGCGGAGAACTAGGTGAGTGGGGACATTGTTAGAAAGGAGACTTTCTCTTAAAAAGTTTTTTGGTGAAAATCCATAGGAAAACATACACCCTTTCAGCAATTTCTACATGTTCAATTCAGTGGCATTGATTACTTTTGTCACTTTGTGTCATCATTTTCCCTCTCTTGACTGATTATTTTATTACCATCAGTTTAGACTCTCTGTTCCATAAACTTCTCATCTTAACTTTAGAATTACTGTTGTCTGATTGATCCATATAGATTATTCTTTAAGCCATATGCTTACTTCAAAAATTTTTGACTAATTGAGCTAAATGATTGTGTTAGAGTTGACTTTAGAGGCTAGTTATGTAGTTCAGAGTTTAAAGGTAATCACAGGGTAATAGAATTGGGGGATTCCTCCAGTCTCAGTGAGTTCATTAAATCTGGGTTCCATAGAAATTGGAAATTTTGTTCTACCTTTCCTTCCCTATTTAGATCAGGATCCACTTTGATCAGGAGTTCTTGATCAAAACATTCAATAACTTGGCACCACTCTGTTCTTCTAGTGTGATGCCAAAGGATGCAGTCATTCAAGGAAAAAATTAGATCTACAGTCTAGTTCCTTCTCCAGTTCCTAGGTCTGGAAAGGACACTTTATTATGTGCCTCTTCATACTTTTCTTTCTTTTTAGCTATGTGAATATATTATAAAGAAAAATGGCCACTCCCCACTGTAATAGTCTCTGCTTGTTCTTCCTTCTCCTTCTTAAGAGTTTCCTACTACATCACACTTTAGAAAACTTCATCTGCCCTCATTCCTTGACCACAGAGTTCTTCCCCTTTATCTGTGCCAACAGGTTTGGAGTGTGAGGATGGTGAAAGGACTCAGGAGGCCAAATTGCCCAGGTATGAGTACCAGAGGGGAGCAAGACAGACCTGCACAGACAGTGGAGGTGAGCGAGCAGGTCTTGTCTTCAACTTTACCTTTGTTGTCTTGCAGACGGGTAGGACCACTGCCAGATACTTCCCTCCCCACAGAAGAAGAAGAAGGAGAGGAAGAAGAGGAGGATGAAGAGGAAATTCTCAGTGATGCCAGCCCATGGACCTACAGCTCCTCCCCAGATGAGCAAGTGGGGGACTAAGAAGGGATACTGAAGAGACCAGGAAGAGGGAGGAGGCAGCTGACTGAGGAATCCAGAGTTTTACAGACAGGAGGGATGGGCTTTTTATGGAAAGGGGTAGGGGTCAGATGGGCTTTGAAGAAGACAAAAGAACTGCAGGCTTTGAAGTGAGAAGTAGAATGGGATAAAACCAGATGGGGAGAGACTGAGGTTAAAAGTATGTGTGAACAGAGATGCTGGGGGGTGGGAGTGGGGTTCTGAGGCTGGTGATTTGGAGGTGGGGCAAGGAGAGACTGAGGCTGGCTTGAAGGCTTGGGGAGTAGATAATACCCTCTTTGTTTTCCTTTCAGCAGTGAACCAGATGCCCCTAGATCCCCCAGACTACCTCCAGCCTCTCTTACTCACTCCCTTAAAGAGGAGACACCACGAGTCCCTTCAGATCTCCCTACCTCTCTGGCAACTCCATCCTCTTCAGTATCTTCATTGGGTTTTGGACTTCCTCTGAGTGCAGAAATCAGCATACAACCAGAGCTCAGTGCAGCTCAAGAAACTGAACCCTCAGCCAGGTAATCTGAAGACTAACAGAGAAGATAGAGGAGTCTTGAGGCATGACCCTTCCATGAGTCTCTTTGTTCCCTTCATTGTTGACTGTAGCCCTGGGAGTCAGACCCATTCTGCTCCAGCTGCAGCTCCAGACTGGGATGAAGAAACTGCTCAAATTGGCCCCAAGAGAATCAGGTAAAACTGGGGGAGTGGGGATTCTGAGAGGAGGGATAAAAGCGGGCAGAGGAAAGCAGGTGAGACTCCTCCAGTTCTTTCCCATTCTCTTCCCTTAGGAAAGCCGCCAAAAGAGAACTTCTGCCTTGTGACTTCCCTGGCTGTGGAAAGATCTTCTCTAATCGGCAGTATTTGAATGTGAGGGTTTAGGGTTGGGTTCTATGTGCTCTTTGGGTTGGGGAGACAAGACAGGAGTTGAAAAGAGACTAAGAAAAAGCAGTTGAAGGTGTGGAGAGATTTGGAACCAGAAATGAGTTGAGGTAGACATTCAACATTTTTCTAAAGCTAATAATCAAGTGGTTGTTTTACTTAATCAGGCAACTTATAGATGAGCTAAAAAAACCAAGCTTCAATTGCACAAAGTTAATGTCCACCACTGCTTATGATATGAAACCTCAAAGAATTAAATGCAGATAGGACAGTGGCATTTATTTTCAGGCTCTTAGGAAGAATTAATGATTGTTCCAGCACCTCGTGTGGCTCATGTCACTTGGTCCTCACAACTTCTTTATGGGATAGCCCATTGCTGAGGGGTCATTTCTGACTCGTGGTGACCCTGTGTACTACCGAATAGAACTGCTTCTGAGGGTTTTCTTGGCAATGATCTTTTATGGAAGCAGATCATGGGGGCTTTCATCCGTGTGCTGCTGTGTGGGTTTGAACCACCAACTTTTAGGTTCTCTACACTTTCACAGATGAGGAAACTGAAACACAAGGCAAAATGATATAAGTAGGTCATAGTGCCTCAGCTGGGATGTGGTAGTAAAGGGATTCTGAGCCTGGTAGTAGCCTGGCTTCAGAGTCCACACTTGAGTGGCCTCACCATACTTTTCACGTAGATAGCCCTAGAGTAGGAAGGACTGGGAGATGATCCTGTTCCAAACCTCATGTATGAGAGATTTGAGGGATGAGGTCTAGCCTCACAGTCATCCAGTGCCATTGACAGGTATGAGGCTGGAAGAAGGCATAAAGCAGAGAGAAGTGATGAGGCAAAAGTGGACTAGGTGGGGGGAAAATGCTCTGTGAAAAAAAAGGAATGTAGAGAGGAATCAAATGGCAAAGGCAGGAGGAGAGAGGTCCTGGTATATGAGTGTCAGTGAAGCTCGAGACAAAAATACCCCATTTAGCTAGAAGCAGCCAAACATTTCTTGTACCTGTTACAGACGAGACTGAAGCAGCTCACAATGATTTAACTATTTTTTTTAAAGGGGGAGGTTCTGTGGAAAAAAGGAAGAATTACTGTGCCTGCAAATTAAATGAAGTAAAAAGATAAATACTTCACATGCTGATAGTTTGGCTGATGAACTCTTAAAAGCATTCTAGTTGAGTGCACGTGTATGGGCTTCCAAATTTAGAAGTAAAACTTAAAAAGTATACCCATAATGAGCTATTAGGGAAAAGAAGAGTGTCTGATAGTTTTGTACATTAGAGATTATTTTGAAGAAAATAATCATGCAAACAGTAATCTGCAATGTTCTCCCTTCCTATCTTGGTAAATAGTAAATTTATGGCTAGGTAAGCCAGAAGTGTCACCCAGGGCAGTAGTTTCCCTGGGTTACTAGACATTGTAAGGGAAAGATGTAATAAGGAGGCGAGATAATGGAAATTGAGAGCAGAATATGGTAAAGGGCAAATAGGATCAGAGCATTCATGGGAGAGAGAAGGCCTGGCCGCGGTTATGAACATCTGGCCATGGCAGGGAGAACTGGCGCACAGACGGACAGAGGCAGGCAGAGGAGCTCACCAGCCAAGTCAGTTCTGGATTTTGGTTCTGGGGGATGCAGTTTCCCTTTTCTACTTTTCTCCTATTTCCTTCCTTAGCACCATAGGAAATACCAGCACATCCACCAGAAGTCTTTCTCCTGCCCAGAGCCAGCCTGTGGGAAGTCTTTCAATTTTAAGAAACACTTGAAGGAGCACGTGAAGTTGCACAGTGGTAAGTGGTGAAACTGCGACCTTCATCTCCTCTTCTGTGGGTTTCTCTCATTCATTCATTCCTCTTTTCATTCTCTTTGGGTTGAACACCTGCTTGAGACTCTGTTTCTGGTGCTGGTGGTAGGAATAGTAGAGCAGTTAAGAAATAGTCCCTAACCTTAGTGATAAAATGCTGTAAAGAATGTCAGAGCAGGATCAGGGACTATCATGTGCCCTTATAGAAAGAGAAAACATTTTAAGTCAAAATTATGCATCAGTGAGTTGAACAATGACCAAGGAAGATAGAAGGAGAACTGATGCCTTTGAGCCGTAGTGCTGGAGAAGAGTGTTAAGGGTACCATGGACTGCTAGGAAAACAAACAGATTCATCCTGGAAAGGGTTAAACCGGGCAGCTCCTTGGAGGCAAGGATTCTGAGGCTCCGTCTAACATACTTTGGACATGTTGCAAGGAGGGACAGGTCCATGGAGAGGGACATCATGCTTGGTAGGGTGGAGGGACAGTGCAGGAGGGGAAGGCCCTCTATGAGGTGGATTGATTCAGTGACTGGGGTAATCGGGATGGGTGAATCAGAGACAGTGCGATTGGCACAGGACAGAGCGAGTTTAGGGATGTTGTGTATAGGGTCACTATGAGTCGCAGGCGACTCGACGGCACATAACAACAATAACAAGCACTCAAGAGCATGAAGTGAGGGCTTACATACAGAAAGAGAGGATGGAAAGGCCCCAGGTGGTATCTCTGTGTGTGTTTGAGGAATGAGGAGGTCACTGGAGAGCAGCATTAGAGACCACTGTTAGGATGACTTAGCTTCTACCCTGAGTGAGATGGGTTTCAGGTACTGGACAACAGAGAAACCTAACTGCCTTAGAAGGTTCACTGTGAAAGGAAAAAAGAAAAAGATCCCTATGGCTGCTGTGTAGCGAGTAGACTGCAGATGGTCAAGGGCAGACAAGGCGACTGCAGGATCACCCCTGTGCAGAATGAGCTTGGACTCACTTAGTAGCAGACCAGTTGGTATGAAGTGGCTGGAGCCTGACTGGAATTTCAAGGTAAGACTAGAAAGGTTGTTGCTGCCAAATCTTATGGCTTGGCTAATAGTATGAGGGGAAGGAGGATTCAGAGTTGACTGAGGATTTCAGTCTGAGTTACTGAATGGAAGGTGATGTGATTGAAAATGAGAGGAGAAGCAGGCGTGGGGATAAAGAATTTTGATTTAGGACATGATAGTTAGATATCCAAGTAGAGATGTAGGGTAGGTAATTGAGTTTGTGAATCTAGGATTCAGGAGAGAGGTAAGGCAAAAAAAAAAGTGTGTGTGCTGAGCATATGGATTATATTTGAGGATGTAGGGCTGGATACACTCGCTTAGGGAGGAAATATAAATAGAGAAGACGTGTAAGTATAACAGACCCTCCAATCAGCAGGCAGAAGAAGGGCAGCATCAGAGAGACGGAGGAGAGCAAGGTCTGAGGAGCCAACGTGAGAAAATGTTCCAAGACAGAGGGTGGGTCAGGTCTGTTAATGTAAGTAAGAATGGATGAGAACAGCCATCTGCGTACTTGGGCACTGGACAAGCCGGCACTGAGAGCTGGGTGCTGGAATGGAACATGTTCCAAGCAAGGTGGAGTTGAGGAAATGGAGGCAGCAAGTATGGACTACTCTTGGAGTTTTGCTGTGAAGCTAGGAAATGGGATTTTAGGTGGAGGACTGTGGCAAGGGGCAGAGATGGGAGTGATCCCAAGAGCAGAAAGGCTTGCCTGCTGACAGTAGGGTTCTGGAATAGTCTCCTTCAGTCAGTGAGAAGGGCTGGGTTTCAGGGCACAGTTGATAATCTTGGGGAAATACTTAAGTGTCTGTGTGTATGACTTAGGTCACCAGGTAGGAAGATGTGGGAGCTCTTGAAAAACAAGATCACCGATACAGTAGTGGTCAGCTGACCTGGTAGTGTAAAAGAATGGCTACAATGAAGGGAGGTGAACCAGAAATGTGGGGAGGACAGGATGGGGCTGGTTAACTGATAACCTAGGAGCCCCAGAATTATTATAGAGGGACAAATGTGTCCCCCATTTTGCCCACAGACACCCGAGACTACATCTGTGAGTTCTGTGCTCGGTCGTTCCGGACCAGCAGCAACCTTGTCATCCACAGACGTATCCATACTGGAGAGAAACCCCTGCAGTGAGTGCTGGGAAGAGGGCCTGGGGACCAAAGTACTCTGGGGGTCGGGGGGTGGGGCAGGGAGATAGACAGGCCACCCAGGCATTGGGGGAGCAGGAAGAACTGCCGGGGAAGTCAAGGTGGCTGAGGTCCATTCTTTCCCTTCCTCTGCCCCTGGATCTAGGTGTGAGATCTGTGGATTCACCTGCCGCCAAAAGGCTTCCTTGAATTGGCACCGGCGCAAGCACGCAGAGACAGCAGCTGCCTTGCTCTTCCCCTGTGAGTTCTGTGGCAAGCGTTTTGAAAAGCCAGACAGTGTTGCAGCACACCGAAGCAAAAGCCACCCGGCCCTACAACCTGGCCCACAGGCATCACCTGGTCCTTTGGAGCCATGTTCCAGCATCTCTGTCTCTAGACCCTTGGGGTCTACTGAGGCCCCAGAAGCCATGCCTATAGGGGCCAGCTCCTCCCTCTCTCCTCAGACTCCAGCTCTACTCTCTCAGAAATGAGTTCTTTCCCACAGGCTTTGGGGAGTCAGATCCTAGAGACTAAAAAAGAGCAGGAAGAGTGGTTCCGAGAAACACCAGATGTTTCTGAAACTAGGGTGAGATATTCAGGGTAACGCACTTCTGGGGAAGTAAGGAAGCTAGACTATTTTAGTCTATCTAAAAGAATAAATAGTATTTTATGTGGGCATTTTTGGGCAGATTGAATGTTCTGGTACCTGAGGCACAGAAATCCAGATTGTTCTGAAAGTAGATTGCAGTATAGGTACATAGCCCTGGTCTTCTGCTTGCAGGTCCCTCACCTGCCCTTCTGAAGGTCTGTTTACTTTTGGGACTGTTTGGCACTTTATACAACTCTTTTTCAAGGAGTGTCAACCCTACTTTTACATGGAAGTAAGGCACACACTGTGTATGCTGAACAAATTATTCGAGAGAGCTGGAATAATAATGAATAATGTGACATCAGGATCAGAGAAAGACTCATCAATCACCTGAGTTATGCAGATGACACAACCCTGCTTGCTAAAAGAGAGAGGAGGACTTGAAGCATTTGATCAAAGAACACAGCCTTCAATATTGATTGGATCTCAACATCAAGAAAACAAAAATTCTCCCGACAGACAGATAGGCAACATCATGATATATGGAGAAAAGACTGAAACTTGTTTGACAAAAAGATTGTCAACAACTTCATCTTATTTGGATCCACAGCACCCTTGGCACCAGCAGTCTGAAGTCAAGAAACATGTTTCACTGACAGAGTCTGCAGTCAGGGACCTCTCCAAATTATTGGAGAACAATGATGTGAGTTTGAGGACTAAAGCACGTCTGATTTCTGACCATTTGCCTTTGAGCTGTGGTGTTGGAGAAGATCACTGAACATGCCATGAACAGCCAATAGAACAAATAGATGTATCTTGGAGAATGCACAGAGTATTTCTTGGAGGCAGAGATGATAAAACTTGCCTCACATATTTTGGACATGCTGCTAGGAGAGATTATTTCTTGGAGAGGAACATCAGGCTTGGACAGGTGGAGGGTTAATGGAGAGGAAGACCTTCAACAAGGTGGATTGACATAGTGACTGCAGCAGTGGGCTTGAGTATGCCAGAGATTGTGAGGATAGCACAGGTTAGATAGGACAAGGTTCAGTTCTATTCGTAGGTTCACACTCAACAGCACCTAACAGTAACAACAGGGAATACTGTTAACAGTCTAACAAGCTTTAGCTCTCTGTAGTGTAGGTGATTCTGGATCACATTAATAGTCACTACCAAACTGTGGCTGACTCTGAGGAGAATGGGAATCCTGGAACATTTGATTGTGCTTATGTAAAACCTATAATTAACCCAGAGGCAGTCATCAGAAGAGGGCAAGGAGACACTGCATGGAAAAGTTGGGAAGAGTATCCTCCAGGGATGTATCCTCCAGGGACGTATTCTGTCTCCATACCTTTTCAATCTGTATGCAGAACAGATCATCCAGGATGCTGGGCTGTATAAGGAGGAATGGGGCATCAGGATTGGAGGTGACACAACCCTGCTTGCTGAAACTGAGGAGGACCTGAAGTGCTTGCTCTAGAAGGTCAAGGACTACAGCCTTCAACATGGATTGAAGCTCAACATCAGGAAAACAAAGATTCTCAACACTGGGCCAATTGGCAGCATCATTATGGCTGGTGAAGAGATTGAGCTAGTTAACAGTTTTAGTCGGCTTGGCTCCACAGTCAACACTCTTGGTACCAGCAGTCAGGAAATCAAGAGATGAGTTGTTTTGAGAAAGTCAGCTGTGAGGGACCTCTCCAGAGTACTGAAGAGCAACAGTGTCAGATTGGAGACTAAGGTGCGTCTGATCCAGGCCATAGTCTTCACAATTGTGTGCTGTGTGCCAGAGAGCTAGATGATGACTAGGGATGATAGAGAATTGATAACCTTTGAGCTGTGGTGCTGGAGAAGAGTGTTGAATAGACCATGGAGTGCTAGGAGAACAAACAGGTTTTTCCTGGAAAGAGTAAAACCAGGCTGCTTCTTGGAGGCAAGGATTCTGAGGCTTCATCTGACATACTCTGGGCATGTTGCAAGGGGGGATCAGTCCTTGGAGAGAGACATCATGCCTGGGAATGTAGAAGGACAGTGCAAGAGGAGAAGACCTTTGATGAGATGGATCGATTCCATGATTGTGGTAATGGCAGTAGTTGTGTCAGAGAAAGAGGTTGACTTCTCTCCCATGTGTGCGTGCCGATGGTGTACCAGGGTGGCACTCTCCAGAAAGCCCTTGCCTTGTTCCTCAGGGAACTTGGGTTTTTCTCCTGAGTGTGTTTGCAGTGTCATGTCAGTGCTGAGCCCTTGCCACACATCACACTGGAGAGTACTGGGAGTGTGTGTCTGCTGGCCCATGTGGTGGCCAGTCCTGTGTGGATTCAGGCGTGGCTTCATAGCCCAGTGCCACTAGGGAAAGCCCGTGGGCACTGTGCGTCGCGGTGTAGCTGGTAGGCAGATGCAGCAGACACCCCCAGTGTGTGTGCCTGTGCCAGGCAACGGAAGTTCCGGTCATCACCATGGGCATGCTGGTGTAGCATCAGCACAGAGCTGTAGTGGAAGCTCTTACCGCATTCACCGCACCTGTAAGGCTTCCCTCCCTCCTACTGCCCCTGATGCCTCCAACATGGTAAATACCTAGTACCCACAGGGTGCAGGGAACCTTGCCATTCAAGCATTCAAGTTTGCCTTTGTCGGCTGTTGATAATTTTGAGTCTTTCTGAGTTCTGGAAGGTATATGGTTGTGGAAAGGTGAAAGTAAAGTTTAAACAAATGAAAAAAAAACCCTGAGCTGTGGACTCCTGGGTTCCTTCCATTGGCAGGTCCAGAAATAAGAAGAGGAGAATTCTCGTTCCTTCCCGAAAGAACAGCAAGAGAAGCAAGCAGGTTGTCTGCTGTCCAGCAGCTGGAGATTCTAACACTGTTGGGAGGGCTGCTCAAACTCAACTCTGCCCTTAGCTGTGGGATGCTGGCTAGGAAATCATCAGGGAGAAATAAAGTACAAGGAAACCTCTGCCTAGGTCACACCAATACCTTCATGTAAGACATCCAGATTTCCTGAGGAACCAAAAATCTCCCAGTCGGATCTTGGCTGGAAGGTCAGGGGAGGTAAAAGATAAAGCACACAGATCAAGGAGCAAAAGGCTTAGACCTTGATATTGTTGTTGTTGTTATGTGCTGTCAAGTCGATTGCGACTCAGCAACCCTAGGTATAACATCCCTAAACTCTGCTCTGTCCTGTACAATCGCACCGTCTCCGATACACCCATCCCGATTACCCCAGTCACTAAATCTGTCCACCTCATAGAGGACCTTCCCCTTCTGCGCTGTCCCTCCACACCCTACCAAGCATGATGTCCCTCTCCAAGGACCTGTCTGCCCCTCCTTACAACATGTACAAAGTATGTTAGACAGCGTTAGAATCCTTGCCTCCAAAGAGCAGCCCGGTTTGACCCTTTCCAGGATAAATCTCTGTTTTCCTAGCAGTCCATGGTACCCTCAATACTCTTCTCCAGCACTACAGCTCAAAGGCATCAGTTCTCCTTCTATCATCCTTAGTCATTGTCCAACTCTCTGATGCATAACAAGTAATAGCAAAGACCATGGCCTGTATCAGACAC